ATAGATGATTGCTGCTCACAAGGAAGCTATTAAACCAAGAGTTTCAAATGGTGAAGTTGAAATCATCCCTTCGTAAATTTTACGGACGCCATCACGAGTTGGTTGACCGTTATGGAATAACCGTTTCACAGATGATATCGGATATGTTCCTTATGTCGTAACTACAAAACCCTTCCCTGTTCACGAATGTGACCTACCGAATTAGACTTTTTACCGGATTTGTAATAACATAAGCAACACGACGGGTGCAACATGTGGAGCAGGATCTGTTTACCCTTCCGGAGCACCTGAGATCAGCCCTAGTTTTTGGTGGGGTTCGTGTTGCTTAGTCTTTAGTTTTCTATGTTGTGTCATCTGTAATATTATTTGTCTGTTTGTCTTTTTATTTTTGGCCATGGCGTTTTCAGTTTGTTTTCGATCTATGAGTTTGACTGTCCCTCTGGTATCTTTAGTCCCTCTTTTAACGGCAACGACGGACGTATGACGCCTAATGATGAGAAAAGCTCACTTGGCCCATTCGGCCAGATGAGCTAAAAAGGACTCAACATTCGTATTCCATTATGTCACATTTGTTTACCAATCAAATTCAAAAAAATCAAAATGTCCTGAAAATAGTTAGCGGAGCTGAACCAGCAGGAGCAAAACTTTGTGTCGTAAGTGGCATTTTATGATTATGTTGGCAACCTATCATTTAAAAGAAGGATAATCTTCACTTTCTCGTATATTTAATGTATTTCCTGAAAAATCAAAGGATTTGAAAAACAACCGCTAAAGAGAAAAGAAATTGGATTATGTTCTTTCTTCAATAAATTCTTTTCCTGAAAATTGACTGAAATTCATCAGTCTCATACTATATCAATCATTTCAATGGCTCAGCAGAAACGCGAACAAACTGATCAGATACTACATTTTCAAACCTATTTGCTTGGGGTTAAATATACTATTTAGATTTAACTTAAATTAACTTTACTTTAAATTTAAAAAAAAAACAAATGAAGGTTGCACTTTGTAAATACAGCTATTTCTCAGACCACGCCTGTTTTGGGGTGATATATAATACTCATAGATAATTCATTTTGTTTATGTACTGGTTCCAAGTCATGATCTCTATGTTTTGTCTCGTAGAATCATAACTTGGGAATGTTACCAGTAAATATGCCTATGCTTATAAGTCATATCGAAATCTGTGGAAATCCTAAAGTCAAGGTAGGGGTAGTATAGAATTTATGTGTAAGTTTAAACTCTTAGAAGTTCGGGTCATATAAACGTTGAAAATATGCCGCACATCCCTATATTTTGACCTTTGAAAAAAATAATAGTGCATATGAACCTTCCATTCTTGGATATAATTTTTTTCAAATTCATAGTAAAAGTGGTACAGTTTTAGCCGTAAAAGGAGTTCCTATGAGAACTTGCATTGTCGATAATTGCAGAAATGCAACATAAAAGCATGATAAAAGGTAAAATCACAAAAATGCTGAACTCCGAGGAAAATTCAAAAAGGAAAGTCTCTAATCAAATGGCAAAATCAAAAGCTCAAACACATCAAACGAATGGATAACAACTGTCATTTTTGAATAGGAAAAAAAAAGCCTCTGGATAAATATGTTTAACAAGCACAAATTGTGAATCAATTACTAAATTATTTTCGTTGATTTTTTTTATGGTTTGAAACGGCATAAACATTAAACCATATTTAGTTTAAGGTAAGTACACAGTTGTGCAAAATATTGGTTTATATTGATTTTTTTAAATTATTTAATAAACAACTGTCACAAAATTTATATATAAGTCTTTACTGACACACCGAGTTTTGTAAAATCTGCATTTAAAACTTAAAAAATAGAATGATAGATAACTGATATTTCAAACGTTATAATATTTACCTGTCCGGTAGCAAATGTGTCCAAATCACTATTCCCATGATAACCTTGAGTAACAACTGCTAGGAGGGGAAACTTTGTACGATATGTTGAAATAAAATCTTTCACAGAATATTCTATCCTGTAAATTCTATACATATTTGTCACGTGAACAATTCAGGAAGTAACTATTTTGTTAAATAATTTTGCGTCGAATAAATCAATAATGTTTATCACATATACTTCGTTTTATAAATTTTGTAAGTATGATGTGGTTTATATGTTTGTTTATATATAAGACAGGTGTTAGTTGTCTCTTTTATGAACACCGGTATACTACTGTTGCCTTTATTTATGTATATACTCATGTGGTATTATAAGTCCGTTTTAGCTGTGATGTATTAAAGTATACTGTAGTTAATTCACGAATAGTTCCTGTTACTTAAATTTGACAGTTCCCACAAAACCTTAACGGAACATTGAGATTTAAGGAAAATAAACATAAGAATGTATGGTATGATTGGCAATGAGACAACTATCCATCAAAGTTCAAATGAAGTGAGTGCAAGTAATTATAGGCAACCATAAGGCCTTCAACAATAAATCCATACTGTATCGACTATAAAAGGTCCCGATATGAAAAATATGAATCTATTCAATCGAGAAAACTTACGGCTAACAAACCAATTAATGAAAAAGAAATATGACAGACAGGAATCAACAGCAACCACTGAACTATTGGCTCCCGATTTGGGATAGACACATAGCGATTTCACCTCAAAAGCTAACCAAACCTTTAAACAAAATTATCCAGAAGAGATAAAGTTACGATACTGTTGTTAGGTCATTAAGGATGGCATTGTTTTGTATTGATATTGATTCACTCATGTGTCTTTGCATCGGAATAAACACATTTATTCAAAAACCAGTTGTTATCATGATACGGGTTATGTTCTTCTCGTATACTTTATGATGTATCGTATTTACTTGACGATATCGGGTTAAACTTATTTAGTCGAATCTTAATAGGAAATTGTAAAAATATAAAAAAATCAAAACGGATGGAAATAATAAACAGTATCAAAATGTTCGGGCTTAAATAAAATTTGTATTTGGGTAAGTTGATGCAAGCATACGATCTCTATCGCGTCTTGTACTATGAGAGGCAAATACTATTTTGCTATTATATTACTGTGTAAACACGTGAATTATGAGCCATGAAAGTCAAGTAGTTCAAGTATTTTACTGAGTAAGTTTAACAAACTTTCAAACAAATATTCTTTAATGTTATGTCGATTAGCATTTATTAGTCGTCACTATCCTATAGTTAACAACATATGGTTATATTGGTACTTTAGAATCTTCATTGAAGGTGGAGCACGAATGATGTGTCATTTGTATGCAAGCGTGACATTCCTTTTTACTATGTTCCAATTCGAAAAAGTCAATAAAAGCTATGCGAGTATTGTCTCCCTTGGACAGGTTCATGATTTTATATTTACGTACAGTTATTTGCTGTAGATATACCGATCCAATTCTGCACCAATTTTGTCAATGTCAATACCAAAACACTATAGGGCGAAGGTCGAATATTCACCAATGAAACTCATGACACTTGGGCCACAGGAAAATACTGAATCAGATTTGATCGAAAAGCTATGGCCAATTAGTAAGGGAATAACTCCTAATTGAAGGTTAAAAAAATGTTGGAACTGGACTAGATTAAAACCTATATATATTTCCCAACGTATTCGCTATTCAAGAGCTTGTAGTTGCTACCCAGACTTTGTAAATCGTCACCATTGTCTGAGTAGAAAGTTGATAAACCACGGGTATGTCAAAGAACGTCTCGTCCTTTTTCTTAAAAAAAGATCATCGGACGGTACCAAGACCTTGTTGATAATTATTCCGTATCAACTTCATAAATAATACACGATGGTCTTGAAGTATAGATTCTGCTGGGTACTGACGTTGTTTATCATCTTAATAACGTGTTATAGTATTCTTTTATCTTTATCAATATTACTTTTACTTTTTAGTCTGTTTTGGTTATATCCATTTGACGTGGCTCTGTACTTATACATCCCGCCATTGTGTTATTGTGCATTGGTAAAAAAAAACTGTATTCTTATCTTTCATTTTTACTAATGTGCTTTGTCTTTTTGCGTTTCTTTGCTACATATTTTTTGTTATTATAGTGATTAAGATATAACAATGTTGACTGCTGTACCACAATGTTTGACATTTTTACCTTTTATGTCTGCTTGTTTTGTTCACACATCGTTGTCAATAAAAAGGAATTTTATGCGACTGTCATACAAGTCAGAGGTTAAGCTAGCTATAACACCATTTTTTACACAAGAAAATGCCTGAACCGAGTCAGGAATATGACAGTTGTTATTCATTCGTTTGATGTGTCTGAGCTTTGGATTTTGCCATTTGATTAGGGAATTTCCGTTTTGAATTTTCCTCGGCGTTAGTATTTTTGTGATTTTACTTTTTTTCTAGACGGGTTCACCTTTATACTCCTAGATTTAAGAACTTTAAAACGTTGACGTTTAAGATTAATGTGACCCATCCACCTCAGAATTTGTTCATTGTTTGAATATACTCGAAAACTGTAAAAGCTTGTGCAAAAGTAAATGGTATAGAAATATTTGGGATATCAAGCACTTTTGTAATGTGTTTCTGATCAGCTACAATCACCCCATAAAACAGTTAATCCTAATCAAAGCAAAAAGCCGTAGAGACTAAATTCAAGTCAGTGAAAATGATTGTCGGAGATAGAAGCTTTTAGATTGAGTAAATATGTATACCTCGGAAAAAAATATGTAACTTGAAGTGACGTTTGTTTTTTTTTTTTTAGAAAGATGACTTGACATTTTTGTGCTTTTAGCGGTCGTAATGAAGTTGAATCAAGAAAAGATCTTTAAAGACATTAAAATTAGTATAAAGTCCCTTTCATTTTCTGCGACAATAAGATTCCCGCTAAGAGCTTTTTACTGAAGTTGATGTGATTTGGTGTTTTGAAAATAAACAATGAATTGCATATTCTAAAATACAATTAACGCAACAAAGGTTGCAAAAGTATTAACAAAACGAACTTCAAGGTGAAAAACAGAAGGTGGAAGTCAAATATTGTAACTAAAACAAAGACATATAATTTCAAATATGTAAACACATTAGTTAAAAAACACATACAATACACATTTCAAATATGTAAACACAATTTAGGAAAACACATATAATACATCTATCTAAAAATATTGAATTGTTGAATTGTTAATAAATTCACAAAAGTTACAATGTATTCTACGAATATATATACAATATTATATCAATGTCAGAAAAATAAAAACTTTTTTGTATGAGACTGAGAAACTGGGGAAGGGTGGGGTTTTACCGAGCCCATCTCCATTTTTGTGCCGAATACAAAAAAAGTTTATATTTTTTAACATTGACCTAATATTGTTTTTATACTGCAAATTAAATTAATACATCATTGGCTTTTAAATCGTAACAAAAATCTCAAACTTATTTTCACCCCTTAATGAACCCCTGATTGTGGAGAAAGTGTTCTAAGATGAAATTGACATTGCACAAAATATAGATGTGTTACTATATTTAGGTAATAAACATAACTAGTTGCAGTATAAATCCAGATATTAGGTAAGGATGTATTCACTTTCACAAATCAAAAATATAAAATACAAAGTTCAAAAGGCAGCTTGACTAACAACAGTCAAATGTTTTTTTTTTTAATTGAAATACGATTCAGTGACGCTACTTCTCTATTCCGATATAAAAACGCTGCTAAAATAAAATTAATCAAAACCAAACAACAACAGAACAAAAATAAATTTTATCAAACTCTGACACACGACAAATAAAAACTATCTGAAGTCGAGCTATCTTATAGGACATAACAGGAGTGAATTCATTATATATAAAAAGAGAAATGGCATACGTGACAAGGATTATACACTTAAACTTAAAATATCAAAACAGATCTTTATAAAACAGTCTATACATTGTAATAATGATGCATGAGAAATAGAATATGAAATTGATGGAAAAAAAGTAAAATCACAAAAATACTGAACTCCGAGGAAAATTCAAAAAAGGGAAGTCCCTAATCAAATGGCAAAATCAAAAGCTCAAACACATCAAACGAATTTTCCTATTACCTTTCACTAAATGAAGTTTAAATTCGTGACAAAGGTGAACAATTATGATCTAAACACTTTTATTAAGGCTAGCTTGTGGTCTAATTATTTCGACAAATTTCTATTTTATAGTTAAGACCTACTTAAAATCTCTTACATGATCTCAGGTTCAAACAACATACTATCTAAGTAATATATATCACCTTTCAAAAATATGATCTGTTAAATTGATTATAATGAAAAATAATATTTAAAACTTTATTTTAACATCATCATCAAATAAGATGTGGTATGATTACCAATGATAAAAATACACCAGTGACGATAGCGTAGATGTTAACAACTATAGGTTACCATAGGGCCTTCAATAATGAGCAAGAACCCATACCACAGAGAAAGCTATAAAAAGCCCCGACACATAATAAAATGTAAAACAATTCAAAAACGAAACCAATAGTCTGATTTATGTGCAAAACAACAAACGAAAAACAAATTTTATATACAGTAACAAACGCCAACCACTGAGTTACAGGCTCCTTACTTCGAACAAGAACATATTTTATTTCAGTTTTAAAGTACAAGTTCGTCATTATGGATTAAATGGTAATATAACATATTTGATTTTTTTTAAATAAATCGATCGAAAAATTGCATATTTTTTGGTTTATTGTTGTTAAGGATGTTCCTTTCTCTGTTTCAAAGTAACAAGCTTTTTAAAAGACTGTTATAAAAGTTAAAATCACAAAAATACCGAACTCCGAGGAAAATTCAAAACGGAAAGTCAAGAAACTAAAAGAGCAGAAAAAAATGAAGGGTCCGTGTGATTGTTTTTGAGATATAAGCCATTGTAAATTTGGAGTGAAATATTTCTCCCTCGATTTTTCATACATTTAACATAGGCACCTTTTTTCTTTCAAAAACGATGAAAAAATAACAAGGATTTTTTAAGCTTTTCTAAGATGACATTTTAAACTATATGTAATCAAATTATAGAAAGAAAAGTAGGGGTTAGAGGGCAAAATGTTTAATGGCACTACATGGATAAAACCAGAGGATTCCGAATATTTGGCAAAAATTCAAAAACATGAGGAGCGAACATCCTTAAATGTCTTATGCTACAAATGTTAGCAGTGTGATATAAATACATGTGTTAAAATCATAAGTTTGATTAAGATTAACAATTACATGCATTTTGCAGGGAGAGGTTGTAAATATCTTTTGTTCTGATCATTTTTCTTCATTTTCACCATTTTTTAAACTACAATTAAAGATAACTTGTTTAAATTATAAAAGAAATATATCAAACATTGACACAACAACAGATTTAAATGGACGTTTTTACAATTCATTTCTGGCTTTCAGGAATTAGAATTTGTTGATTACTATGTGAAGAAGGTATTGCACATGCTGTAGAAAGTGTAGTGTAATGCCATATGCTATGTACTAAAACACTACCTTTGATTAGATAGATAATGTCGTTATTTCCACCGTTGACGTTTGAAGTCATTGGCAATCTGGTTGCTAAAGCACAGTCGGCGTTTCGGAAATAATTCGAATATTTGATTTTGTTCATTTAAAAAGCATTGCATTGGGAAAAAGAGTAATTTAACTGTGTTAGAAGAGTTGCCACTGTCAGTTGAGGATTTGACGGTTGAAAATGGAGTTTTACTACGGATGCGGATCACAACTACTAAAACAGATGTGTTTGACCGTCGCATCCTTAAGGGTGGCACTCAGTACTTTTATTCTTAAAATATGTATCATTTTGCCTTAAGTTTCCCCCTTAAGATTCTATATCAAACTACAGCCTCTTTTTAAAAAAATTTAAGAAGATACGGACAAAAACAACACGTTTCATCAAATTCGTTGAAGCAGATTGTTATGCATCTGATGGTGAACGGTTACTTCCCTTGGATCTATGAAAATTGAGATATTGTTGTATTGAAATGTACTGTTAAGCAAATCATCTGAACATATTTAGATTGAGTAATGTATCTTCATAGCTCTGATTCCTGGTCCGGGTTTGACTTTCATTTTAGTTCTGTTTTGTTTTGTTTTATCAGCTCATCCGTGTATTAGGCTTTGATTGATTCAATAGTTGGGCCTTGGGCATCACTGAACGATAAATTAAATAACAAAATGCACATGTGGTGCAATAAAAATGATACAGTTATTGTCATAACTATACAATTATACAATGAAAACAATGTCATGTTTAAACTTTGCCTGATTGAACTTAATGTTATTTTGTTTCCAAAATATACTAAAAAACGTGTTTCCGAGCTTTTTCTCAATTCTCAAGTAAGACATTTAAAAAAAAATCAGTCAGGGCATAGCCCGAAAAGAAAAGTCCGAATTTTTAACATACATTATATTTCATCTGCATATCGGACTAAACTGTCATACTTATAATGCATTGGTATTGGACGATTGAACATACGAGTTATTTTTTTTTTCGGTTGCGATATATCTGGTAAACGAAAGATAATCCAAACTGAATCTACTTCCATCGACTTACAAATTCATTAAATGTATGGATTGAAAAGTATGTAATGATGACAATCTCTCATGTGACTAAACTATTTAACAAATATACTTTTGTAATAAGAAACGAGCAAGCAATTTTCTTAAAACTTGTTAGAAATAAAATATCAGTAACTGAACTCGTTCCCTAGCTACATAACAATATCAATACGTTTGTTTTACCTTGATTCAACTATTCCCGTCTTTGTTTCCAATATAGATAGAATGCACCAGCCAACGCTAATGCAGTAGCGATACTACCGAGCACCCCTCCAATTATAGCACCTTTATTAACTAAGATAATTAAATCTTTTATGCAATTAAACCTGACACTGAATTATGGTACTACCATAATAAAATACATATTGAACATTTAGGAATGTTAATTGAGACTAAAATATTCCGTTGTGTATCCATTAATATCTAGAAAAAAAGTCGAAGAGCAAAAGCTTGTTTCCAACAAAGATATATTTTGTGTTTAGATATAGATACAATGAGTAATTTGTATGATTGTTCAAAACCAACTTTAAGATATAGTGTATATATGCAGAATTTAAAAGCCTGATCTGTGTAAAAGTAAATTATTCATGGTTTTCTCTTAAATCTTTAGATCGGAGTCGAATGCACCTACAAAGAGAGATGTTCGAACTTTCAACCTCAGTGTTGACAGGCTAGTAATTGCTGTAGATGATCAACCTAGAACACTCGGCCATCGAGGCTGCGTGATGAGTTAGAACATAATGTGCTATGTTATTTGGACATCACAAATCGAGGTTATCTGCTAACACCCATGAAAAAAACAGCGAATAGTTTGCAGCAAAAACAAATGTAAATGTTCTAATATTTTTCCTTTTGCCTTTTTCTTGTTCACTGTATCGACTTTTAAAGTCTATAATTTTCATTTACTTGCATATAGTCATCCGTTAATCTTTTTTTCACAAATGACAATTTATCACCCGATCTAGATATTCTAAACCAACACGACGCGTTCTACATATGCAACATGAATTGCGTTTTATTCCGGGGTACCTGAGTTCACTTCTTGTTTTTGGTGCGGTTCGTGTTGATTAGTCTTTTGTTTCCTATGTAATGATTCGTTATTGTTGTTTGTCTGATCGTCGTATTGATCTATGTTCACGGTCTTGTCTGTTTTGATTGAATTTTCGATTGATCCCTTGGTATTTTTTCTCCATTGTTTACGCCATGTATATTTGCGGATGAATTACGAATGAATACACAACTTAGATAAATGTAGTACATATACATACCTGTTGAAGCGGATGACCTGCAGAAAAAATTGATTACCAGTATTTGCTGGAGCAAACAATACAAATAAGTGGACACGTACAAGAAATGTATTATTGGGGGTAGTAATTTCATATGATAAGCACAAAAAGCCACATATTTGCATGCATTGTAAAATATATTGGTTGAATGTTTTGCAACGTGCAACAGTACTAGTAAAAGGAATATAAACATCATTATTATAAAAATTGACGTTGACAATTACAAGAATATAAAACAAAATCTGTAACAGATTCAACTATGAAAGAAAAAATATACTCTGTCATTAAATAATCACATCAAATATTGCAATGAAAAGGAATTGCTCAATGTATCGCACTAGCATAGGCTAAAGGAAGATACATGCTCACATGACTACGAAACAAAATAAACATTTGTACCGTTTTTGCTTATATAAAAACTGAGTCAAGAATTCCCAGGATTTTCTAATTTCTTATTAATAATATAGCAGTAGGGCATTTGGTGACATGATAATTGTTAACATCTCAAAGATTCATAATTCAGTTCTGCAACTACTTTGTTCAGTAATATACAAATCTATACTTACTTGGAGACACACGATGGCTTGCCATTTAAAACTTTACATTTAAGTTTAGAACTGCATGGTGATAATGTTGTGCGGATGGAACACAGTTCGTTTGTCTGTGTCAGATTTGATATTTCCACTGAAAAGGTCAACCAAAGATATGAAAATCTTACAAATTGTTTATATGTTGAACTCTAGATGTATCGATTAATACGCTCTATTGTCTTTCAAAAAGATATATTCAGAATAATTTAATGATGATGAAAATGAAAATACTCTCATTTATAAAAATACTAAATCCAAATCACACGTTCGAGTTCACAAGCAGTAGGACTTTGGGACAAAAACGATCTGCGTTGGCGGCGAGGGCGCTAACAGGAGACAACCAAAGACGTGCGTAAATAATTGACTTTATTATATTATGGCCTATGGTTTTAACTCAAACTACCTGTCGCTCAGTTCCACAAGTAATGTTATAAAATAGTTTTGTGTCATATTTCTTCATATTTTATATTTTCAATGAAAATGTAGATGTCTTCAAATGGTGTTCATGGAAAACCGCATATTTCTTATGTTGCTTTTAGCAAAATTTGTGTAAGTTCAGTTAATTTTGTGTAAATATTAATTATTCATTTCAAAACAAGCTTAGCAGTTTTACCTGTACTGTCAGGTACTTCATAGTTTGTAATATTAATAGTGGATACTTTTAAGGACAAAAAACGTCCAAATCTAAGCGATTCTTCACTATTCACCAAGTCGTAACAAGATTTTATCAATGATCCCACACTGTTTTCGTTTGTGTATACTTTCTGATCCACAATAATATAACCTTTTCTAAAAAAATATGAAGAGACATATAAAGCTTATGTTTTATGTATAGTATGTACAAAAGTTAGGAGAAACAAATTGATCCAATATCTTGTAATCAAAAAAATAACGATGTGTTCGAAACAATTGGTTATTGCATGCAGTCGGAAACTAACAGTTGTTTCAGTACTAACAAATAAAAAAAAAGTTTTCATTTTATTCGATTTGAACTTTTTAAACTACCTTCACGGGAATAATCAGAACAGACCTTCGGAGAAGCTAAAAACATATACAAAATATATAGGTTTGTATATATATTAAGGGTTAATAAAAATACATCTTTTGTCAAGTTGCATGATGAAGAGGAAAATATTATCTTTTATCTAATTATATTCATAGAGACAAACCTTTTGAAATGTACGTAACGTTAAATTGCATACGAAAATTGCATATCATTGTTTATAATATTTGACGAACACAAACCTTAAACTCCTTCAGATATTTGAAACGAAGGAAAATAAAAAAAATAATTTCAAACCAAATCAAAATGATAATGTATTTTTAAAGTGTTAAAAGATTATACTAATAAGCAGTGTGAAGTTGAGGTATATGCCTTAACATGACTTTATTCCGAATGTATAATAAACTGATTAAAAATACAGACTGAAGACTCATTCTATTCCCAGGTGAGGGGGAGGATCTTCCCCTTAACAAATTGATTTAATCCCGTCACATTTTGTATTTTCCTGTCCCAAGTGCGGTGCATGTAATTCAATACTTGTCGTTTTTTTTGTGTATATATATATGTGTTGTGTGTATTGTTTGTACTAAAATCAGACCGTTTAAATTGTTATAAAGGAATAGGTCTGGTAAGGGCCGATTTTGGCCTCAAAATTCAGGTTCATCTGATGAAAGATTTTGGACACTTTTTAAACACTTAAGTGTCTACCTCAGTCGATTCAATTAGTTTATGCGAAAGATTTGAACTGATTAAGTCATTAAAGACTCTCAAATTTAAGATTAAATATGACAAATCTATCAAATATGGCATAATATGTCACTTTTAAATTGGTTTTTGTCAAAAATGAAAGTGGCCGCATCCGTGTTAATTCTCAACCTTTAATTATGTTATGTATTATCATCGAATACAACTTACATTTAAATATTAAGAATGAACACAAATGCGGCCACTTCCATTTCAGACGGAAACCGTCTAAAAATTACCCAAAATGCTAAAATTTCGAAGATTTCAGTAATTTAGCATGACTTAATGATGCAAGTACCCGATACATGTGCATTGTATTGTCAAAAACAGCCCATATTTATGTAACAGAAGTATTCTTCTTTCCAATAAATAGCTAAAAATTTACATTTTAACAATTTTGTAAAACTGCTATATTTTGGGGCCAAAAAGGGGTCTTACTGGGCCTACTCCTTTGTCATTTCCAGGCCTTTTATAGCTGACTTGCAGTATGGGTTTTGTTCATAGTTGAAAGCCGCAGGATGACCTTTAGCTGTTAACTTATATGTCATTTGGTCTCTGGTGGAGAGTTGTCTCAATGGCAATCATACCACAACTTCTTATTTTTGTATTAAGGACAGACGAATGCACGGTGCTCATACCTTATATTTATCGGTAGGAGACTAATTAAAAGACATGTACAGTTCAGACCAATAAGACAGCAACTTTACAATATGTGATAATTATGATTGATATCTTTATAAGTGATAGTATCGTTACGTACTCAGTTGGTGTTAATCTATTTATAGCTGTACTATAAAAACTTGTTCCAAGCATGGTGGACCAATATCTTCCAAGCTGTTAATATAAGAAATAGAAACAAAAGGTGAATGTACTTTATTTTGAATAATTGAATGTCATGAATATGGTTAGGATAATAGATTAAATGTTTACAAAATTTTTCAAAACTGTTTTCGAAATACTGTGGATTTTTTAACCAGGAATAGATTACTTTTGCTAGGATCTGGCAAATCCTTTCGAAATTAGAGTCTTTCAACTTCGAACTTAATAGTTTTGTTGTTTGTTTTTTTTTTAATTTTGGCATCACTGATGAATATTTTGTAGACGGCATTCGCGTTTGCCGTACAAAATTTTAATCTTTCTATCTAAAGGGTCACATTTTCTTGTACGATTGTTGAAAGTTGAAAAGTCCGCTGATCCAACTTTTTGTGTGACTGTCATTTGAAGTAAAAAAACAATCGAGTTCGTTTCGTCATAATTGAGATAATGGATATTGTAGATATTGGAAGTTATTGTTATAGTGTACATACTCCTGCCTTAACATCTTTGAATTGGTCGGATGATGGATTGTTTAAAGTAGTTATGTCTGAAGATTGATAGGCTGATGTCTCAATTACAAGAACCACTCTGTAGATAGCAGCTGAAATATACAAGAATATAAACTAAGCATATTTTTGCTGCCTAAACATTAAACTAGGTTCAACATGTTCAACCCGCCATTTTTTCTTAAAAAGTCCTGTACCAAGTCAGGAATTTGGATGTTGTTATCAAATAGTTCTTTTCTATGCATGTATGTTTGGTTTTTTTTGCACTTCAGTGTTCCTGTTGTTCCTTTGTTGTCTTCTTATAGTTGATGTGTTTCCCTCGGTACTAGTTTGTAACCGGGATTTGTTTTCTCTCAATCGATTTATGACTGTTGAACACCGAAAAACTACTGTTGACTTTATTTTGTTGACATTTTCAATACAATATATTTTGACTTCATCACATTTTACATTTATTCTATGATTATTATTTTTCTTTATATTTATATATTTTTTTTTATTTTGTAATCGATTTTAGATTTGTTTCTTAACAAATTGAGACCAACTTGATTTGAATTTTGCGAAATTCTTCACTGATATAATGATAAAAGTTCACGTTGAGGAAATTTCACCCTTCTTAACCGTGGACCAGCAATGAATTTGGAATTTATCGTAAGAAACAATACTAAAAAAGGCTGAATTGTTCAACCGGGAAAAAATATGCACTATTGATTGTTGGTAAGTCAGGATACAAAATATGTACAATATCTACCAAGTCTTGACCATGTTGACCTCCCTAATTACTTTTTGATGTTTCTTTTTACATAATATATCTATCAAAGTTTTCAGGAAATACATAACGCATAACCACCAAAAGAGAAACAATCTAACATTACAACAATAATTCATTTTTGTAGTTTACTTAAATTTTAATCATATTGGCATGTAGATCATGTATTGCTTATCATTTAGCTCTAAATACTTTCTATCCATCTGTGATAGTTTTTGAAGTGAAAGGCAAAATACTTAAATGTGTACAAATGTAAAGACAAACACCGTAATTGAAGTGCAGACAAGGCTATTGAAAGTGGATGAACTGTTTACATCGTTTTAACATTATTGTAGATCTGGTATTGCTGGTCGTTTTTGTTGCTGCCAGTTGCTGCCAGTTTCTGTTAATCTATAATAGTTTTCATGATAAAATGGCAAATTTAAAAAATGAGTCAACAATTGTCCTTTAAGAAGAACAGAAAACTATAAACCGTCCATTTATAGTGTCAGTAATGATTTTCAGCAATTTTGTAGATAAATATTTGATGTTAACAGTTTATGTCTTTCTATAATAATTTCAAAAATTACAAAAAGTTAAAATGAGTAAAACTATTCATTTCTCTCATATTGATTTTTTTTAAATTATAATTTTGTATTGCTGATAATTTTTGCTGAAAACTGTTTGGTCTAAACTTTTCAAAATAATAACAAGTAAGATTTAATTTCTTTAAGGGTCACTATTTATTGGTAACTACCCTAATAAGGGGGTAAATCTAAGGTTTTAATCATAATGATATTTTTGTGAATGTGCTGATCGTGCTTGTGTTTCAAGTTTCTCTATTTTTTGTGCTTTTTTCACATTTCTTGATCGGTATGAGAAAAATATTTCTCCTCACTAGTGAAATATCTGTTCTCGGCAAAAGATTGGTCGAAATTTAATTATGACGTCTAATTTTCTTTGGTTTCTTCTGAATTTTCTATTGTGACGTCATGAAAAAAGGCGACCATGCCTGATCACGTCACATATAAAGAACACAACTTTCTGCAAATCTTGAAAAGGAAGGATAAAAATCATCAGAGAAACAGATTCCACCACTATAACCCGTGTATTACGATATTTCTCCCATCTCTACAGTTAAATTCTACTTATTTAAAAAGCTCGGCAATCCTCGCGCTTTAAATATTTAAATTTAAACAGTTTCGAGTGGAGAAATATCGTAACATACTTGTTGCAGTGGTGGAATCTATATTTCTACAATGGTTTTCAAGTGAATAGGCAAAACTTCTTCAATTGAAAAAAACTCTCCTTTAAAGGCAATAACTCCTGAGTTTATTTGGGTAAAAATCCAAAGTAGAAAGATCTGATTATTTGGAGCATATTCACCCAGTCGGACTTTCTATGTCTATAAGGGTGTTCACGCTATCAAACAATAATCTGCATTTTATCCCTAGGTTGTGCTTACTGTTTGTTAATGTATTGAATATTGTTTTAATTTATTTTGGAAAAGAATATTTTGATAACAAATGTTACAGACAATGGAAGAAGAGTAATCAAACGAATTTGGTGAGAGGAGAACAACCTTGCATAAGAAATACAACCAAAACTTTAATGCCAATTCTAACATGATTATTGATTTTTATTTTTTTTGTAAATAAAGCTCTTTTGCAATACAACTTACTCTGCCAAGGATCTGTTGTAGTACCGTAAAACCTCAGGGACCACCTATCTAATCTTACTGAAAAAATACAGAACGTCCTTACAATGAACTGTACAAATATCGTAACAAAACATGCCATACGCTTATGTCTTTTTTTACTATATAACTAAAAACATTCTCGTTCTAATTTCATTGGCTTAGAGCATATATAGTCGTCTTGAAGAAACGTTATATTTATCACTGAAAAATCACGAGAGGTTAAAGGGGCACTAGCTGTCAATTTCACGTTCACCGATTTGATTCAAATTCTAATATTAGATTTATAACAATGTAAAACATTTATCCAAATAAAAAAAAGTCTAAAATAAACAGTTAACAGGGCTTAGGCTCGATAATATGTAGCTTTGTTTCGTGTGTATTTAAGTCTAGACGCCATCTTATCAACTATCAAGATGACCCCCAAAACAACCGACTGTCACATAGCACGTTTTAAACACAAAAATAAATATAAGTAGATATATGGATCTCGTGGAAATGGATTTTTCTATGTCCACTTTTTTTTCAATTTTAAGGTTAAAAAATAAGTTAATTTTCTATTTTACCTGTATAAGAATGATTTTTTTTTGGATCGAGTTAGTCATTCAAATGATTTAACTTTGTTTCACCTTCAAAGTTGACATTCTTTTCTTTTTATAGCCTAACACGCATCAATCATGCATAATCAATCTCTAATTAAGGGGTTAAAATGAAGTTCAAATGAATACGGATTTAATGAGGTTGAATTATTCACTTGCAAGTGAATAGTTCATTATCGATGTTTCTTAGCTTATTTTGACAAAATTGGACCATATACTGCTTGCTAATAGCGAATTATTATTTCATTAATGATTGAACAAATAAAAATTATAATTTAATGTATTTTATGTATCTCGTAGCTAGTGCCCCATTAATATAGCATTTGGAACAGCTAACTTGTACCTAAATATGAATATTCCAAGGCAACGTCAATGATGTCGATTTATGACGCCATGCAAATTCTTGATATATTTTTCCTTCTTATTTTCGGTATATTTTTTCTGATCTTCTTTTTTCATGTACTTTTTCAGTAATTTTTATTGAAAATTTCAACTTTTGAAAGTTAACAACTGCTAAAGCTGATGATATATTTAGTATAAAAAAGCAGCAGTTTGAAAAATATCATGAGCAAATACTAGAAAATTGGAGAAGGATAAAAAGTCATTAATCAACCCCAGAGATATGACATTCACTCTCGGCCGTTTGCCTCCGCCGTGAATATCATATCTTTGTGGTTGATTTTTGTATCAACCTCATCAAAAGTCAATAATTGTAAAGTAATGCTTCTTTTGAGCAGAACATTTCAAAGTATTAAAGATTGTAATCTCGTCATAATGACAAATGGTAGCATTAAAATTAGACTAAATGTTTTCATTTTGATAATTCATTTAATAGATAGATTGATTTATATACAATTGGAAACACCACTTCAATTTCGTTATTTTTTTTTAATTCAACTGTCTTTTTAATGTCTTAAAAGAGGGACGAAAGATACCAGAGGGACAGTCAAACTCACAGATCGAAAACAAACTGACAACGCCATGGCCAAAAATAAAAAGACAAACAGACAAATAATAGTACAGATGACACAACATAGAAAACTAAAGACTAAGACATTTTCTTGTGTTATTTTTTATTGTTTTTAGAAATAAGAAGATGTGGTATAAGTGTCAATGAGACAACTCTCCGTCCAAGTAACAATGTGTAAATAGTAAACAATTATAGGTCAAAGTACGGCCTTCAGCACGGAGCCTTGGCCCTCACCGACCAGCAAGCTATATCGGGCTCCAAAATTACTAGTGTAAAACAATTTAAACAGGAAAATCAACGGTCTTATCTATATAAAAAAACGAGAAACGAGAAGAACGTATTCAAAACATCAAAAAAACGACAAACACTGAACAACAGGACCCTCTCTTAAGTTAATTGCACATTTTAATAAGCGTTAACCTTCACCTTAACCTGAAAAGTAGTGTAACATTATAACATAAAAAACACCTTAAAAGAGGGCCGAAAGATACCAGAGGGACAGTCAAACTCATATATCGAAATTAAACTGACAACGCCATGGCTAAAAAAGAAAAAGACAAACAGACAAATAATGGTACACAAAACACAACATAGAAAACTAAAGAGTAAGCAACACGAAGCCCACCAAAAACTTAAGGTGATCTTAGGTGCTCCGGAAGGGTAAGCAGATCTTGTTCCACATGTGGCACCAGTCGTGTTGCTCATGTTATTATAATATCGGTAAATAGTCTAATTCGATAGGCCACATTCGTAAAAAGGGAAAGGGATTGTGGTTACGTTATAAGGAACATAACCGATATAATCTGTGAAACATATATTTCATAACGGTCAACCAACTCGTTTTAACTTCACCATTGGGAACTCTTGGTTTAATAGTTTCCTTGTGAGCAGCAACCCTCTATTAAGGAAATCATGATAGGCTATTCAAGCCCGAGAATATCGTATCAATTGGGAGATATATATATTTCGTATGCAGGCGCTGTGGGAATGTTGCTACATAGAAATGGAAAGTTCACAATTGGGAAGCTGAAATCATCTCTTTCGTCGTAAAGTTTTGTTTTCAACCGACCCTCATTGTCAATTTCTAGATGTAAGTCAAGATATGAGGCAGACTTAACCTGTATCCTTTATCTCTAGTTCGATGAATAGAATGTCAATTGAAATGGCTTAACCTGATTAAAAAGACAAATAAACAAAAACAATTAAATATAAACTGAACGAATGCATGTTATTTATGACACAATATAAATACAATATTAATACAAAAATAAAGATGTAAAACAATGTCAGAAGACAATTATAGATTGCATTTCTGTAAATATGAACAATGCAATTTCCCAAAGGAACTCCTTTCAGGGCTAAAACTTTTACCATGAAATTTTGAAAAAAGTTATATCCCAGAATGGAAAGTTCATATTCACTACTATTTTTTTCAAAGGTCAAAATATAGGACGCTGTGGCATATTTTCAACGTTTATATGCCCCGCACTTCGAAGAGTTTTATCTTACATTAAAATTTTATACTACCCCAACCTGAAATAAAGATTTCCACAGACTTCAACTTGATCGATATGAATATGTATATTTACTGGTAACATTCCCAAGTTATGTCTTTAAGAGATGAAATATAGAGATCATATCCGGGAACAGTTCTATTAATTATTTATGAATATTATATATCTCCCCAAAAGAGGCGTGGTTTTAGAAACAGCTGTATTTACAAAGTGCAAAGTGTAAAGTTGGTATATAATTTGCCATAAGATATAGTTGGTATAGAATTTGCCATAAGATGTAGTCACGTCTCCAGATTTGTTTATGTTGTTGTCTGTCATGTGTGAACTTTATCAAAACGCATCAACTCTTTGTAATTTACATTTGTATAAAATCATGTATACAATATGTTATGAAGCATATTTTGTTCTGCATTATACTCATCAGTATCAAATTAATGTAACAAATTTTTCACATAACACAACTTTAGATAGATAATTCAATAATGACCAAATAAAAAAAAAGAATTTTAATATTCGATGTTATGTATTATTGAATCTATCGTATTCAGTCTTTTCGAAGTCGTCATAAAATACAATGTGACGCCATGGATACGGGAAATATATTTATTGGATATAAATAAAGGTTTTACCTCTAACGGAATGGATTGTTGAACTTATCTGCAAGGTCCAATTTCCAATCGGAGATTCTCCCCAAAAATGAACTGACATATAAGTCCAATTTAGATTCCCAGCAGATAAATTATCCTCTGCATCTTCCTTCCTGTGGTGTAACAGGTTGCTCTTTGTACCAGCAGGTGAAATTAAATACAATTGAGTACCACCTCTATATCTTGTATACGAAAATGTTACAATGACCTGTACATGTTCCAAATAATTTATTGCTGAACATTGTTGAACAGTAATATCAATTAAATCCGATTTTGTAGATGTTGTAGTCCTTAAAAAAACAATATTGTTCACATTGACTCATTTGTACGATTTTAATTTATTATTTTATTTGCATTTAATCATATTCATCATTTAAAATTGTCATGTCCCTTTAAAATGATACATAAAACACTTAAATGTATGCATTATCCATTTATACGAACTGGTAATAGTCGGTAAACGAAAGAACAGATAAAAAAAACTCAGTCTTAAAGGAGATCGTACATCTGTCAAAAAGTATGCCATAATAATTTTTGCCTAGAACCAGGATAAAATATTTACAGCAGATTTAAAGTTGATAGGATTTAGTTTGTTTTGTAATTACTACAGTACTATAAAAATAAGGAGATGTGTTGTAATTTCAAGTGTTAGAACTATTCATTAGAGATCATTAATGTAGATGTAAGCAATTATATGTCATCGTACACTGTCGTACAGCTTTCTAGAATGAGCAGAACCTTAATTGCATTGCGTGCTATAAAATCCAACGAGATGACAAAATGAGAAACATTATATACAAGAAAACCAACAATCTGATTCAATTTGATAACATAAAAAAACAAGTATGACAGACAGCAACCGACAACCACTGGGTTTCGGGCCAATGCCTTGCGGCAAACACATAGATAATATCAGTAGTAAATTGGTTTTAGTCATAAAATCTTCTGAAGTCTTTCGAGCAATGTTCAGACCTAGCCATACCTGATAATTCAGTTCTATTCAGAAAATCAACATGTATTCTATTCAGTACTGTTCAGTAGTTTTTAGACAATTCAATATGGTGTTAATGTGAACAGGCAAGTAACAACTTCTGAACACTCATAACGATAATGAATTTACCGTAGTAGATACGTTTTGTAATAACAGAAAGACCGAAAATTACTTAATCATTTATTGTTCAGTTTTTTAATAGCTGTTAAGATCATTATGACCGTTTCATCAAAATTGGTTTACTAATGTTTGATTGGTTTAGATATGTTTCTGAGCGCGCAAGTGGTGTAACAACACAACATAAGAACAAACTATAAGAATTAGTTGAAAAATACTAGTAATCAGATCGGCACGAAGCATAAAACATAAATAACAAAACGACACAAAGCACCAATATAAGAAAACTCATTGAGGTGAGTTTAAAAGAAGTTTTCTCTCAACGCAAAAGAACATTAAGTAAGGCGACAAGGAAAAACTAAAACCATCTCTCTGTCACCATCTGGAATAAGTTTCTCAATTAGCTACCGACTGGAATTGTCCGTATTTCGTCGACTTATGAGTTTGTATGTGCGTTCGGTATCTTCTGCGTCTTTTTACTAAATATATTTATGTTTTTTGTAATATCTTATAAGCCCACTATTGTCTATGCGACATTATCAATGGTTTGGTCACTTGACAAATGATACTTGAAATGCTAACCATATCAAAGTTTTAGTGTGTTTACAGTTCATGCGATAACTCCAACAATTGTCTGTCTGTACATTGACTAATGCATATTTGTAGTTTATAGACGCAACATAAGTTTACAGATGTTCAAATCCAATAACATCAATAAGACCATAAAAAGCAAGGTAAACAAAATATACCTGAATTACATGAACTCCAAACGGATCATCGGGATCAGGTTTGTCGACACTGTAAGGGTCTCCTTCTGTGCACGCATTACCCACAATGCAAGGCATACTTGTATGTGCATTTTTATACAGAAATGCAATATTCATAAACAAAAAAGGATATAACACCACAGGAAATACTTACATATATGGAAATTTGTTCCTTGAAGCACAAGTATGTTGTTGTGGCACTGATTTCCATTGAGAACCAACAGATACCATAGTCTCAGCATTCATAAGACCGAAGCCCAAAACCTGACTAACTAACCATAACAATTACAAATTATACAACATAAAAAGAGGAAAATATATCAAAATAAATTTTAAATCATGAATGAACAAGATTCAGAATTATTTACTATCTACAAAGTTTCGTCTGCATGTTTTTAAAATTGAGAACTACAATACCTAAATTTGCAACCAAACGTTCTGTAGAAGATATATTTTGATTTTTACTTTAAAGTACGTTTTACCTCCAAAAGTGCAATATCGAACATAATAAATGTACATGCACAGACCTGTAACATTAATATAGTCTAATAACAAACACATTCACGCATTTAGGTCTATTTGAATGAAAAGAGTAATATTATGTTTGTCTTTAATTTTCGTTTAAATAGATAAAACAAATGTATTCCTATAAAAAAATAATCTAATGACCATTAGTTCCTCGATTTCAAATGTAGATTTTATCGGGTCTAGGTTTTATCAACCAAAAAATGCAAAAATAGCACAATTTGTTCATCCATAATTCTAAACTCGTTATTTAGTTGTGTTATTATGGTTATGGTCTTTAAAACGAATTTAAATAGTACTGGTACTTACCAATTGTTGAAGAGCGCACATTGACCTTTATATTGTTTATTGTTTAAATGTAAAGTCATTGACGTATTTTCCTCATATATTATTCAGAATGTGTTTTTGAAAGGTTCTGTTATTCTTATACTCCAGGTTATGTTTGCCAAAAGAAAAACCTTAAAGTATGCATTATCTAACGGAAATATCGTACAAAAATATTTTCTTCAATATTTGCTGGGAATGACGTCCAAGTTTATCCTCACATCAGATTGGGATATTCTTTTCTTATGCATTTTGGTATAAAAATGTCTAACGGATCAATTGTATGGTGAAACAAAACTATTCTAGATTAATACGTTATCGATTAGTGTCCAATTAAATTAGAATCTTATAGTAATTGAAGCAAGAAACAAAGTGTTTTTTTTTCGGTATATGAATATTACAGGTAATTTTGTAAGTAATCTATAATATTAACTTTATATTATAGGGGTTGTTAAACATTTGTCATATTTTTTACCGCGTAAAAGCAAATAATTTTTTTCAACAATTTCGAAAAAAAAAGGTTTTTTTCCTGGAGGTACAATCTATCTTTTAACAAATGAGAATCATGTTAGAATATTATATGGTTTATATTTATAACAATAAGAAAACCGCAATTTTTTTCTAAAAGCTTTATAAAATATTTACGATGAACATTTAACAGAAAACCACAACTTATCAATAACAATCGATTACAACTGAAAGTATTAAATGTTTTAACAAACTGTAGTAGCATTTGATCAGGGGAAAAATGACATTAAACAGGTCATTATTGTATGCATTGGAGCCCTTTTCATTGAAGCTTTGTATCGTACGGGTGTTGTTTTTTTTAATTTTTTTTTAAAGGAAATGCCCTATCGTTCGGAAAGGACATAGCTCCCTATAGGATAGGTATATAGATAGTTATTGAACTTACATTCTTGATTAGCTCCATTTGTTGACCAATCAGAAAAGGTATCAATGAAATTTTTCCTGTTTGAAGTCAACACAACTAGATGTTGTATATCTCTCCATGTCAGATTTGGACTGCAAATTCAATTTGTTTTTATTATTGAAACATTCGTTCAGTGTATGTTCACTTGTACTAATATGTCTTTTGAGTTAAGTCAATTGATATATTATAGTGGGTCTTTCTATGTTGTGATGTTACACTATTGTTTCAGATAAGGGTGAAGATTGGTACCTATTAAAACGTTTAAAACGTTTAAACCCGCTGCATTTGATTGCACCTGTCCCAAGTCAGGAATCTGTTGTTTGTCGTTTGTTGATGTAGTTCATAAGTGTTTCTCGTTTCTCGTTTTTTATATAGTTTTGACCGTTGGTTTTCCCGTTTGAATGGTTTTACACTTGTCATTTTTTGGGCCCTTTATAGCTTGCTGTTCGGTGTGAGCAAAAGCTCCGTGTGGAAGACCGTACTGCGACCTATAATGGTTTACCTTTACTAATTTTAACTTGGATGGAGAGTTGTCTCATTGGCACTCATACCACATTTTCTTATATCTATTAGCAAAAAGAAACTAACACACAATTATATCCATGTTCAACTTTTTTTTCAATTTCCACCTTGTCCCACCATGAAATCGTACAAAGACAAACAATTATGGTACTCAGAGCAACGCAAAAGCGTTGAAATCGACCCCACGTCATAACGTGAAAAAAGGAAAACTAGAAGACATCCTCATTCATCAAATATATATGAAGATATCGAACAAGTTGACCCAAACTTAAGAAAAAACCGGAAACAACCCTGGTGTACCGATAGAGTTAGAAGTTTCTCCTTTTGTAAGGAGAAACACACATTAGTAAGATATTTATCAATGATGAGTCAAACCCTTTTTCATCTGATTTTTGTAGTTTGTTCTAATGTTGTCCCAAGTTAGAAGAGAATATGGCATCCAAAAACATGATTAGCTACGCCACATTCTATATATGCCTGTCCATAAGCATCAACCTATAATTCAGAAGTTGTCGTTTGTTACTGTATCTCATTTCCCCCTCAAATGTGTCGTTTCTTACTCAAGCCATAGGTTTTCTTGTTTTGTATTTGCCTTGTCAAGGCTTTTTATAACTTGCTAAGCAATATATGTTTTGTATATTGTTGAAGGCCTTATGATGACCTTTATTTGCTAGTATCTTAGTCATTTGGTCTGCAGTGATAGTTTTCTCCTATGCAATTATATCCACGTCTTCTAATTTAATTAATATTTTAAGATTTTGGCTCATGTGGTAAGTTTCGAAGGCGTTTCACTGGAAGGTTGTATAGCACTTAATTAACGGGGTTCGATATTTATCCAGCTATATAAACATATGATACTTTTTCTCTGTTCCCCCAATGTGAAATCATCGAGTGAGACTAATAACCAAATTACATAAGAAAATGCCTGTACCAAGTGAGGAATATAACAGTTGTTATCCATTCGTTTGATGTGTTTGAGCTTTTGATTTTGCCATTTGATTAGGGACTTTGCTTTTTGAATTTTCCTCGGAGTTCAGTATTTTTGTGATTTTACTTTTCACATGTGCAAAACACTGGACGCCACGTGTTTATTAGGAGTTGCCTATCTTTCCGAAGTACTTGAAATCACCTCCATTTTTGGCTGAGTTCTTGTTGGTCAATGTTTTGTTTTCTTTGAAGACGTATTGTCCTCTCGAAGTTTTTAGGTTTTTTATTGTCATGGCGTTGATTAATTCTTTTTCGAATTATCAATTTAAAATTCCTTTGGTATCTTCCGTTGCTTTTTTTAGACATTATGATAAGAAAGAAAGAAAAGTTTATAAATTCAAATAAGACGACGTAAGATAGGTGTTCATTATCTTAAATGGTTATTCAAAACTATTATGTGTGTCATTTTTATTTCATTTACTACGGGAACTACTTTGAAATGATAACGATGAAGATACTCATAATAATCAACAATTCTATAGAGATTATATTCGATAATAGAAATGTTGAAGTTACTTTGCTTCAAGTGTAGAACTTACTTTGCTTCAAGTGTCATGGCAATAATTGCAGATGCAATAGGTGCTGAAAAAGAAGTTCCCTGAATACCTTCGTTTGTACAACCTGACTTAATTTTTGTTGTTGTCTGAAATATACAAGTCATTACAAGATCAACGGTTTTGTATAATATTATAAAATATCATTTCCAATATTTATTATACAAAAGCACAATATATAACCGCTTTTATGCAATACAGAAGATCACAGACATCGCTTTTTTGAATATAAATATATAAATGGAAAATTTGAATTTATATGAATACTTTTTAACCCTAAAATGTATCAATGTTTTAATGCTCTTTTCTGAATTCCATGGAGAATAAAACAGTGTTTTCACAGTTCTCTGCAACAAATAATGGCATCACAGTACCCTATAACATTTTGTCTGCTCTTTGTGTTCAAATACGACATATTGCTCCGTTGATGATCAATAGATAAATAAAAATAGGTGTAGGTTAATTATAAACGCGTACAGAATAATGACGCCGTTAGCATCCACGGTTTTTATTTTTTCTTTCAAAAATTAAATCACCTACCAAATATTGATCCTGTTTACTGCCACCATATGTCGCTGCTAATGCAGGCGCACACACTTCAGAGTACCATGCATTTTCGTCAATTTGTACACTGGTAATAGCTATTGTGTATATACTATTTGCATAACCGTCAGCATTACAATTATCATCCAATCCCCCATTACCAGCTGAAAAAATGTAAATGGCGCCCTTTCCGTTTCTTCCCTGGAATTAAAAAAGAAATGTGCGTATCAAGAAGCACAAAAAAGTTGATTAAAAACCAATTGTTCTGAGAACAATTGAAGGTCTGTCCACATCAATTTTCAAGGTTACTGAAAAGAAGCTAGTTCCCGATTACTCAAAGTTAAAATAGGCATCCTATCATCAGTTTCTTTATGCTGATGCAATAAATAAATGGTTTATATATATTTTTGAGTGAAATAAGGGAGAGAATATGCTACTTCCGGTGAAGTAAATGTCACTTTCGGTCTTATATGATAGCTTCTTTCACACTGATTCCAAAAATATATAGTTTCTATATATTTTTGCCTGTGAAACAGGAGATTATTGGCCTTTTCCGATTTATCGAAAGTCACTTCTGGTCTTTAGTGATAAGTTTATGTATTCATATTACAAAATATATGGATTCCGAGTATTTTGCAACGAAAAAAGTGCAAACATGACTACTTCCGGTTTCTCAAGGTCTCTTCCGGTTGACATTTTTCAAGGTCATATGTCACCCAACCTTTTGTAAAAGGTCATATGGCTTTATAATGAACCAAGTTGAAGTAATAATCAATTCATCTTATATTAAGACATTTCAGGGGAACTAACTCCTATAAGATGTCATTAGATTGTTTCAGACCAAATGTAACATATCTTCATTACAATAAATCAAACATTTTGCACTTGTTCTTTTAAATATATTTTTTAAAGTATCGGAGAAAATGCAAAAACAAGGAATAGTCAAAATTGATAACTTGAACTTGACCTTTGACCTTGACCTCAATTTCTAAGTTAGGACCTATGGGCCTCAAATAAAAGAATCCGGGGTTATACGGTTAACGGTTTAAGATTTTATAAAACATACCGACAAATTTATTTGGTAAAGGTAAATAACTCCTATAAAATTTCATCGAATTCGTTCGATCCAAATTAGCCAAAAATTTCTAAGGATGTAACAAACAACTTAGAAGAATAATTTTTTCGATGTCTTTTTTTTGTTACGAAGGAGATGCACACACAAGATAAACATTGAATAGGGGGATAACTCTTACAAAGGAAATTCTTCGGCTTAGCAGGTTGAAATTTAAAAGCGCATAAACTATACGATACAATTTGAGAAATATCTAAGCGACATATTGTGAAACAAAAATTTATCGCAAGAACAAAATTTGGCAGAAGAAAAAAAAAATTAAAAACCAATTGTTCAGAAAACAATTGAAGGTCTTTCCACATCAATTTTCAAAGTTATTGAAAAGAAGCTAGTTCCGGTTTACTCAAAGTTTAAATTGGTATCCAATCATAAGTTTCTACAAACTGATGCGATAAATGAATGGTTTCTATATACTTTTTAGTGAAATAAGGGATATAATGTGCTACTTCCGGTGAAGTAAACGTCACTTTCGGTCTCATATGATAGCTACTTTTACACTGATTCCAAAAATATATAGTTTCTATATATTTTTGCATGTAAAACAGGAGATAATCGGCCACTTCCGGTTTATCGAAAGTCACTTCTGGTCTTTAATGATAAGTTTATGTATTTATATTACAAAATATATGGATTCTGAGTACTTTTCCATGGAAAAAGTGCACAAATGGCTACTTCCGGTTTTCTCAAGGTACCTCCCGATTGATATTTTTCAAGGTCATATGTGACCAAACCTTTTGTAAAAGGTCATATGGCTTAATGATGAACCAAGTTGAAGTAAAAATCAATTAACCTTATAATTAGACATTTCAGGGGCACTAACTCCTATAAGATTGATTGATTGATTGATTGTTGGTTGCTTTACGCCGCATTAGCACAACAAGGCTATATCGCGGCGACAACTCCTATAAGATGCCATTAGATTGTTTCAAACCAAATGTAACATATCTTCATTACAATAAAGCAAACATTGTGCACTTGTTCTTTCATATATATCTTTAAAAGTGTTGGAGAAAATGCAAAAAAAAGGAAATGTCAAAATTGAGAACTTGACCTTGACCTTTGACCTTGACTTCATTTTCTATGTCAGATGTAACGAACAATTTAGAAAAAGAATTTAGTTGATATCTTTTTTTGTTTCGAAGGAGATGCACACACTTGATAAACAGTGAATAGGGGGATAACTCTTACACAGAAAATTGTTCGGGTTAGAATGTGTGAAAATAAAAAGCGCATAAACTGTATGATACTATATAAGAAATATCTTAGCGACATATTGCGAAACAAAAATTTTACGCGAGAACAAAATTTGGCGAAAGAAAAAAATTATAATAATTATCAGAACAAATACAATAGGTCTTTCCACAGAAAAGTTAAATTCAGAGAACAATTAAAGGTCTTTCCACTTCTAAAGATTCATTTTGATATGAAAATATTAAAATCCGGTTTAAAATGTCATTACCAGTGTCAAACGATAGCTATTTGTTTGCTGATTCCAAAAATATATGGTTTCTATACAATTTTGTTTGAAATAAGGGAGGTAATTTGATACTTCCGGTCTTAAAAATGTCATTTCCGGTATTATTTGATAGTTTATTTGAAACTGCTTTCAAAAATATATTGTTCTATATACTTTTACATGAAATAAGTACCAAAAATAGCCACTTCCGGTTTACCCAAGGTCACTTTCGGTTTGCTTTTTCAAAGTCATATGGCTTGAAAACTAATGCACTATGGCTTAATGATGTATAAATATGAATTTAAAGCAAAGGTCAAAATCTAGAACGTCAAATTTACCTATGACCTTGACCTCAATTTCAAGGTCATGAACCAAGGACTTCAAATCAAAAGACCCTAGGTCCTTATTATATATGGTTGATGAATTATATCATCATACGCGTAATATTAAATATAAGAGGGGAGAAAACTCCCATTAAATGTCAGCGTACCCTTTTAACCAAAATGTATGTGTAACGACAAGTCTCAACTAACAATTTAGTAAAAATATGTTGTCTATATCTTATACGGTTTTTGAAAAGAAGTGAAAATAAGCCAAAATAAAATTTTAAAATATGACTTTGACCTTAGACCTTCACCTAATTATCTTTTTTTTTTTGGACCAAGGACCTCAAACAAAAGACCCTAGGTCTCTATCACTTACGGTTTACCAGTTTCACATGAATATCACTTATATCAAATGCATAAGGGAAAATAACTCTCATATGGAATCTCTATACCGCTTCGGTCAAAATTAATCAAAACATTCTGAGGATATAACGAGCAATTTGGTAAAATAAATTTGTCGTTATCTTTTATGGTTGCGAAGGAGAAGTACACACACGAAAAACAGTGTTCGGGGAGATAACTCTTACAAAATAAGATATTTGGTTTAGCGGTGTCAGTTTTAAAAGCGTATAATCTGTTTGATATCATATACCAAAAATCTAATCGACATCTTTTAAAACAACAATACAGCAGAAGAAAAAAATTAGGCGGAAGAAAAAATAAAAATAATCTGAACAAAAGCAAAAGGTCTTTCCACGGAAAAGTGGAGAGACCTAATAATCAGAACAAATATAATAGGTCTTTCCACAGAAAAGTATTTAGTAACCGAAAATTTCTTTCGAAGGTGACTTTTCAGCGAAATCTTTTTTTTAAATTTGTTTCATTTTCTTTTTCAAACAATCAATTTATCATTTGCCTTAAACTATATTTATAAAACTTTAAAGAAAATGAGAACATACAAACACTGTGCTTTTACTTACTGTTGTTACTCCATTGCGGAGCGCTTTCTTCGCTAAATAGCCAGGACCAGAAAATCCACTACCCTCTATGGGTCCCCAGCTATTAGAATATATATCAACATTTGATACGTAATGCAGAAAAGCAGTAGCAGCATCCGAATCCACTGTATTATTTATGTTATCGTGGGTACCAAGCAACTGAACTCCTGTAAAACAAATTATTTTAAAGTGATTAAAAATTTGCAAGAAAAGACATGGATACTAGTGTTGCGGGTTACATACCATACTTCATAGAAGTCGTAATCACTAGCTTGTCAACCTTGAGGTTGTAAGTCCAAACCCCACTCTAGGCAAGTGTGCTCGACTCTTAATTGACTAGGCTAGCTTGATTTATTGCCGATGACCGATAGTTCAATCCAGTTCAATCCAGGCTCTCCGATTACATGTCTCTACTAATAGAAACTGGTCGCCACAATATAGCAAAGTAGGATGAAAGTGGCGTTAAACATCAATTAAGCAATCAAAGACAGTCATTACGGTAAATCTAACGTTCAATCACTTGTGTCTTTTTCTCTCATTCATTGCTTTTTTTAGATTTTTTTTTTGCACGGCGTTGTTTTTATCTCTTAGACGTATTAGTTAATAAACTCATCATAGATACCAGAATTGCAATTTTATATTTGCGCCAGAGGCACGTTTCGTGTACAAAAGACTCATCAGTGACACTAGAATAAAAAAATGTTAAAGGCCAAATAAAGTACGAAGTCGAAGAGCATTGAGGACCAAAAATTCCTAAACGTTTTGCCAAATACAGCTAAGGTAATCTATTCCTCTTTTTTGTTACGTTTGTTAGTGAGTCGTTTGTGTGTGTGTGTTTTCCGCCTTGCTGACTGATAGATTTTTTTTTAATTTGACTAAAAAAAAGACGCTGACTAAGGTATCCTTTCAGGTTTAATTTTGTTGTTAAATATTGATTTCTCATTAATGACTATATTTGTATCAGGTACATGTGTAAGTAAACATATGTTACTCACCTATGACGGTTGAATTATAGGCTACGCCTGGAATACATATATTGTTGTCCCTGACGGCTGCAATTAATCCAGTAACACTTGTACCGTGGCTGAAATCAACTGTTATTTAACAAAGCTTTGTCACACATAGAGTCATCAGTAATATTTGAAAAAAAAAACCTTATGAAGTATCATTGTTAATGAGATCAAGTGTTATTAATTGGAGAATATATTTTTGTTGCAGTGGTAATTGGGCAGTTTTCTGATTTTTATGAAATTTAGTATGCATTCCGAACTCGTTTGAACGCATCTTAATATCGAGTTAATGTAATGATATGATAATCATATAGAGTCATAGAATTAATTGTTTCCATAGAAACAAATGTGTCGATATGAAGAGTAAAAACCCGTCAAAAGGGTCAAGTACGCATAACTATACGGTTTCGGGTTTCCTAATTGTCAAAAACTGTATGGTTGCCTATAATGTCATTAATCCACTTCATTTGAACTCTGGTGTATAAATCTCTCATTTGAAATCATACCACATCTCTTTTTCTGATTTCCTGAATCATTTGTCATGCCATTTCTTCTGTTTTCTTCTTTCTCCTATACATCGTAAATTTTTATCTGCTTTGATCTTTTTTTTGTCTTCAGATTAACATTTTCTTAAATCTTTTTTCCTTCTTTCCTGTTAAAGATATTTGGCCACCACCGTCGCCATTATTGGACAAGAAGGAAACATTGCATTAAATAGAATAAAAAAAACTTGTCAGGAATATGACAGTTGTTTTTCATTCGTTTGGTGTGTTTGAGCTTAAGATTTTGCCATTTGATAAGGGATTTGCCAATTTAAATATTCCTTGTAGTTCAGTATTTCTGATATTTTAATTTGTGTACGAAATAACTGAAGTATGTTGACAATGTATGGCTCGTCTAAAACTTCATCACAAATATATAAGAATTAAAAACAATGAATAAGAAACTGAAAATATTTTAATAACATTTCTATGAAATTAAAGGAAACATCTTAATGCATAGCTAGAGTTGGAAAAAAGCCAAATGAGTAACAAAGCTGGACGTTTGAGCGAGAATAATGGAAAAAGCAGGCAGTACGTTGGACTCTACATATCTTATAGGGTTTCTGTGTTTTTTGGTTGGGTTCTGATTCATGTATATTACTATTTTTTGTTTGTTTTGATAATGATAAATGCATTCATTTAATCTGTATATTATGTTTTTTTTTCTTATTTACTCGTCTTTATCTGACTTTGGTTTTGGATCTGTGGCTCCATCGCGAAAACTGATACCATGTTCTGCATCCTAAAATATCAAATAAAATAAAAATGTATATATGTATAAATCTTTATCCAAGATATCATGACTATTTAGGAATATTTGACTTTGTATATCAGTCCATGGAATATTTCTTTTATATCAGCTTTCTCTCTAAGACAATAAATATTAAATATTGACAACTGTCACAAATTATGGAAGATGATTTTTTTGGGCAAAATAACAAAGTTATGGAAGGAAAATAAAAGATGATAGAGTAAAAAAAAAACTAACAAACCTTACAAAAATCGTATTCAATGTTTTACATAAAATACCTACGACGTTTGCAGAGATATCAGGATGGTCTGTCTCTAAGCCATCATCAACAACAGCGATTATAACCCCTTTGCCGGAGTAGCCAGCATTCCATGCTGCGGACACTTTAAGTGATGGAGAAACCTCATCATTCTGAAATTGGAACTGTTCCTTTACGTTCGATACAAAAAAGTATAAATACCAATTTCCAATGTGAATCCAAAAGGGGATAAGTCCATAAAACCTGACAAAATCAAAAGTTAGAATATATCCATCAGAACGAAAGGAAACCCCTGTCATTTTCCTGACTTGGTACAGGCATTTTCAGGAGACATTGATGAGTTATTGTCTTGAACCTTATCAGTGTTATAATAAGAACTAAACGATCAACGACTACCACAAATCTGGTTTAGTGATACCCTCGGGGCCGAAACGCCCACCAGAAGTGACATAGACCCATTGGTTGTAAAAGAGACAACAGAGGTACAAGTTTGTCTAAATGTGACTATTCAGAGGTGCTCAAATCAAAACAGTGAGAAAACAAAATTTATTCGGAAATTGACAACCCTTTATACAAAAAATCCTATTTGCGCCATCCATGATTTTTTTTATTTTGAATGATTTTATGATTTTATGTTTTTAACCTTCGCAAAATTTACAAAATATAAAGTATCAATGATTTTAAAGTCAGAAATGTAGTACTGACTACAGAGCTGCTGATACCTTTGGAGAAGAATTGTCCATCAGCAGCGTTAACACCGTGTTGCTCATGGCAAAGGGAATTCGGTGTTAAGTGGCATTCGGTTATGTCCCAAACTAGGTTAAAAGGAATATATTAGTGTAATATGTGAAATGTAAAGAAATATGATATTAACTGGTAAATGGGTTGTTGCATGAACTTGAAAGCAAACAATCGGCTTTCTTTATGACACTCAATGTGCTCCTCTTCTTACCGACGTATTCCTTTGCGCATCTGACTTCTGGTTTTCAGGAAAAATGAATATGAGGGTCGATTGAAAATAAAACTGTACAACAAAAAAGGATGATTCTAGATTCCGTATTGTGAACTTTCAATTTCTATGTAGCAAAATTCTAGCAGCGGGAATATATCTCTCATGTGATGTTATATTCCAGTGCATGCATTTTCTATCACGTTTACTTTATAAGGAGTTGTTACTTACAAGGACGTTACTGAACAAAGGGTTTCAAGTGTTAAATTTGAAGTTGACCATCGATGTGTTCCAATTGCCGTAACCACAATCTCTTTTAATCAAATGTCAATTTCTCTTCGACTTTTGAATGTCTCTTTTTATCTTTCGCCTTTTTTCAGAACCCAAATAAGCGGGAGTTGTGGCTAGCCATAAAACCAGGGTCAACCCATCATTTTTTCTTAAAATGTCCTGTACCAAGTCAGGAATATGGCAGTTGTTATCAAATAGTCCGTTTCCTATGTATATTGGCGTTTGTTTTTGTTGTTCCATTATTTTCCTCTTATAGTTGATGTGTTTCTCTGGATTTTAGTTTGTAACCCAGTTTTGTTTTGTCTTAATCGATTTATGACTTTTGAACAGCGGTATACTACTGTTGCTTTATTGATCGTAGTTGGTAAAGAAAATAATGACGTCATTGGTTTAATAACCATTTCTTATAACGTGTTTAACCAAACACAACGGTTAGGCGTGTTCTTTTGAAAATATAAGCCACATTGCATTCGATTCTATCACATTTTATCTGATTTTTAAAATGTTAACTATATCGTAGATCCCACGTCAATGATGTGGATACTTACAACCAATCGTCATTTAAACTGTTACTTACCAAGTACCACAGATTAGGCCATTCTGGATCTAATGTCCTTCTCATTCTCGTTTGGAATTTTTCTTGTTCTACCCATGATATCTATAAAAGATATAAAATAGTATATGAGATAAGTAAAATAACTTGATTTTAAGATGTGAAAATAGTTTTCCTTAAGAACACAAGGTTAATAACGGATTTTTTACAACTAAAGAGTCGCATACAATTATGGTTGTGAACGACCAATAACATGCAGATAAGCTTTTTAAAGCTCCAAAATTATAACATGTTAATGTTATAATTGTATTATAATACCAAAGGCTATATAATCGAGTAGGTGTCATTTATTCCACCTCGTAATAGACAAACAGAGAACCATTGTAATTTTTAGTGGAATTTAAATACAATAAACACAAAACCTTGAACACATCAGTGCTGTGATATAAAATTTATTTGATCGAAAATCAAAGAAACATTTGGGTATTTCTCATATTTACTTGCTCTATAAATACTATGACCTTACTTCAAAAATATTTTCTAAAAAGACTGAATGTTAGAATATGCTTGTACTAAGTGACAATGCAGACAATGATTTTGTCGTGATGTAAAACAAAAAAAAATAATTAAGATTAAAAAATCCTAGAACGTTTATATAACTCATTATTGATACCATCAACAAAATGTTTATACGCCAGAAGACTCAACAGTGACGCTCAAACAAACAAAAATGCACCGAAGAAAAGATGGTGAATGAACAAGTTTCAAGATCGCCTTTTTGACAGTTTCTTCTAAACATTTCAGAATCACCACCATATATTGTATCTCTACATAAGTCAAGAAGCCTCTCAAGTTTTATATCTGCGTACATTAAAAATAGCAAGAGTGCATTTAATAAATATAAATGTAAGAGAGACAGACAACACCAATGTTTCGATGTGTTCATTTTTGCAGTGACGTAATACATGTTATACTTTAATCATTTGAGAATTTAAAAACATAATGGATTTGTTTTAAACCAATACTTAATTTTGTCATAAACAATGATTTCTTTTGAAAGTATAATTCTGCTGGTGGGTATTTGACAAAAAATAGTATTTTATATCTAAATCAAGATAAATGTTTCCTTTACAAACTGATTTTTGGCAACGCCAAAATGGTATCCAAAAGAAAGTGTTTTCGTGCACTGTTCATAACTGTGATGTATGAGATGTATCCAAACATTTGCCAAAGGTAGAGTGCCCGATATAAGTATTTTGACCTTATGATTACTTTGTCAGCCAATAAAGTGTCTTGAGCTATCTCTCAGTAGCTGCTTGCATTCTAAAAGACAAATTAAAAGAGTTGGTATTGCTTTTTTTATAAAAAAAGAATGGTCAACGTAGATACAAGTATTTTCTCTTAGGGAGGGATAAATCCTACTTTGTAAAGAATCACTCTGATTCAAACAAAAAATTCCTTGAAACTGACATTATCAAGATGCTTGATTTCTTGATTGACAACATATTTGTTACGTTTAGAAGACGTGTTTTTCAACAAACTATCGGCATTCCCATGTGAAACCAACTGTGCCCCTCTTCTTGACGACGTGTTCCTTTATTCTTATGAGGCGGACTTCATACAAAAACTTCTTAGTAAGAAAGAAAAGAAGTTAGCAATATCTTTTAACTTTACTTCCCGCTTTATAGATGATGTTCTTTCTCTAAATAATTCAAAATTTGGTGCCTATGTTGAACTCGTCTATCCCATCGAACTAGAGATAAAGGATACAACAGTCACAGTAAAGTCTGCCTCATATCTTGACTAACATCTAGAAATGGACAATGAGGGTCGGTTGAAAACAAAACTATCCGACAAAAGTGATGATTTCAGCTTCCCAATTGTGAACTTTCCATTTCTATGTAGCAACATTCCAGCGTTTTTACTTCCTATCATGATTTCCTTGATAGATGATTGCTGCTCAAAAGGAAGCTATAAAACCAAGAGTTTCAAATGGTGAAGTTGAAATCATCCCTTCGTAAATTTTACGGACGCCATCACGAGTTGGTTGACCGTTACGGAATATCCGTTTCACAGATGATATCGGATATGTTCCTTATGTCGTAACTACATTTCAAGTACAATCCCGTTCCCTTTCCACGAATGTGACCTACCGAATTAGACTATTTACTGGGTTTGTAATAAAATGAGCAACACGACGGGTGCCACATGTAGAGCAGGATCTGCTTACCCTTCCTGAGCACCTGAGATCACACCCAGTTTTGGTGGGGTTCGTGTTGCTTAGTCTTTAGTTTTCTATGTTGTGTCTTGTGTACTATTATTTGTCTGTTTGTCTTTTTTTTTTAGCCATGGCGTTGTCAGTTCATTTTCGATCTATGAGTTTGAATATCTCTCTGGGATCTTTCGTTCCTCTGAGACTGATGGGTCTTATGTAGACGAAACGCGCGTCTGGCGTATTAAATTATAAGCCTGGTACCTTTTGATAGCTATTATTTGTGTGTGTCTCTGTCCTGTATGGTCTCCCATTTATTTGTATTGTAGTCCTGTCATGTAATCTTGTCATTTTAATGTTATATTTAACATTGCCATAAAAGCGGGAGGTTTGGCTAGTCACAAAACCAGGTTTAACCCACCATTTTTTTCAAAATGTCCTGTACCAAGTCAGGAAAATGGTCATTGTTATATTATAGTTTGTTTCTGTGTGTGTTGCATTTTAGTGTTGAGTTTCTGTTGTGTTGTTTTTCTCCTCTTATATTTGATGTGTTTCCCAAAGTTTTAATTTGTAACCCGGATTTGTTTTTTTTCTCAATCGATTTAAGAATTTCGAATAGCGGTATACTACTGTTGCCTTTATTTATATTCGATATTACAAAGTATTGTTTAACATTTATTTGTTTTTTGATTTCGAATTATGTGTTTTCTTGAAATATTCTATTTATTCTATTTGTTTTATTTTTGTTCTTGTTATTTTATTGATTGTAATATAAGATAACGAATTGAGTTTAGAGCAAATAGGAAACCCTCCGCATCTTCATTGTGCCTGTTAGAAGTTATGTAATATCCGTTTTTTTCTTGTTAATTGCAGACATGTTACCTTTTCACAACTTGTCTGGGTGATACAGACCTTGAAATATGCTTGACATATAGATGTCTGTTACATTTACAAGTATGTTGTTTGGTAATTACAACATACATGTACTTAAAAACTCTGTTTGTTCACACGTGAAGGGTATATTCTATATAAAGGAACATACGAGACATCAGCATTAGGGAAATTGAAATATGGAAAGCAAACGTCGTTTGAATGTAAAAAGTATTAATTTTGAAAAGACTTTTAGAATTTGCATATTCTATTATAGTTCTATCAATGTTTTCTTCTTCCTTCTTTTATCATTATTATTATATTCATTTGTTTTGTCAATGTGCTTATCATACTGTTGGCGCAGAATATCAAAACTACAGATGGATTTAATCTTGAAACTAATAATTGGATCCTTTATATTTTCTATGCATAAACTATTGTTTGGAACTTTGCATTTTGACACTACATTAATAAAGGCAACAGTAGTATACCGCTGTTCGAAATTCATAAATCGATTGAGAAAAAAACAAATCCGGGTTACAAACTAAAACTGAGGGAAACACATCAAATATAAGAGGAGAACTACGACATGGTGGGTTGAACCTGGTTTTGTGGCTAGCCAATCCTTCCGCTTTTATGGCAATGTTAAATATAACATTAAAATGACAAGATTACATGACAGGACTACAATACAAATAAATTGGAGAACATATAGGATAGAGAAACATACGAATAATAGCTAACAAAAGGTACTAGGTTTAAAATTTAATACGCAAGACGCACGTTTCGTCCACACAAGACTAACCAGCGACGCTCAGATCAAAACAGTACGAAAGCCAAAAACAAGTACACAGTTGAAGAGCATTGAGGACCAAAAGTTCCAAAAAGTTGTGCCACATACGGCTAAGGTTATATGTCTGGGATAAGAAAATCCTTAGTATTTAGAATAATTCATACTTTTGCAAACAGTAAATTTATAAAAATGACTATATAATAGTTATACATGATAACACCGAAGTGGTGACTAACTACAGAATAAAAACGGATACATAAAACAACATAAACCAACACATAAAAATTCACAGCCGAGTAAGCCAAAGAGATCAACGCAAAAAAAGTGACGTCACATTTAAATTTCTGAAATTTCCCCAATATAGGATAGAATTAGGATAGAATTCAAGATTTGGTTTATATACTCATATAACATTTATTAATAGCAATGAAAATTACAATACTAATTAATATAAAATGTGGTAGTAATTAGATAATTAATAGTATTATCTAGCTATGTCGGTGTTTCTTCTAAATCAAACTGTAAACCAAATATATCGTATAAATTTAGTTGACCCAAACTAAAATCTAATTAATGAACTGGGTGATTAATTATCTTTACCATAACACACGAATACAACAGAAAAAAATAAGATTTACAACTACAAACGATGAGACATTTGACAAAATCCGATTAGAATAACAAATATAATATCAAAACTAAATACATGAATTTTGGATAGAAAAGTACCGTGACACGTCTTATAGCAATGCAAATTCACACTCAGCAAAACAGTCACAATCGGGAATAAGTCACGTTCGGTAATTAAAAGATCAGACGACGTAATGTCAAACCACAATCTAACACGTGGTAAAAATGTCCTTAGTTAGTTTGGACAAAGACACATCGTATGGATCGACCAATTCGTGATGGTGTCCGTAAAATTTACGGAGTGTTATTTTTACACTCCTGTATATGAAGTCCGTATAGTGTGAACATGCACGAGCATAACGTATCAACTTAGATATGTAAACACCATACGAAGGGGCAGAGGGTATGTTACTGCTGAGAAATGGGAAATTGATAATTGGGAAGTTGAAATAGTCCCGTTTATCATAGATTTTCGTGTGAAGTCGACCATCTGTGTCAATATTGAGGAAAACATCAAGGTATGAAGCAGTCCTTCTGGTATCAGTAGTATCCTTAATTTCAAGTTTACTGGGATATATGAGATGTAACTATTGGCTGAAATATGGGTTATTCAATGATAGGACATCATCAATATATCGGAAAGTAAAATTAAAGAATTTCGCAAGGTGCTTTTTCTTTTTGTCTTTTAGAAGGTTCTGAATGAATTCTGCTTCATAAAGACGAAAATGACAGAATTCACTTATGTTTAGAATGGATACACAAGATATTCAATAAGCATTTTCAATTTAAATGTTCATACAATTGTAATTATGTTAAAATAATTTCGATTCTCATACACGTTTGATAACTTCTCAATTTCTTATCTTACCTCTTGTTTTCGTCTAAGAATTTCAACATCCGGGTCTTCGCTTAAAAAGCTTATCTTTTCTTTAGTATTTGTTTGTCGTATTTTGGCTTTGATATATCTGGTTTCACCTATCCACAACTAATTAAAAGATTTACGAGAAAACACTTAAGTATTTGGATGTAGATTCTATTTATGTATAATATGGTGGTTCCCTAGCTACTTTAATTCAAATTAAATCCAGAATTTGATTTGTATTAGGAAAACATGTCTACACCAAAAAAAAAAACAACAACTAGACAAAACAATCGATTACTTTTGAAGGGAACCTTTGTTCAGCATATACGTATTGATTGTATACGTTTAATCAGCCAAACATTTTTCCACTGATGTTACATATGTATATAAATGTTCAAGTTGGCTTTGGGTTTGACATGTAATATATAGATGTGCTTCTCTATAGTTGAATGCCCATATGCTCTATGGATGTATTTATGTGTGCTGTTATTGTGCAAGTGATGTATACATGTACTAATTGTCTTCTTTTATTTACACTCACGTGATACTAACCAGACTGTCTGAATAAACCTAAATATAGTGTTGGTCTAAGAACACTAACCCATAAAATCTTGTTTGTCAAGTTTCCCACTGATGCCATGTGTGATATGATTGTTATGATTGTTACCTTCTACTCTTTTTTTAGGATTGGTGCCTTCTCATACAGATGGCAATGGATATTTACATTTTACTAATATTACGTATTGAACGAATCAGACAAAAATGTATATGGGATTACTTCACATTTTGATTATATAATTTCACATTTTGATTATCCAATTACTTGGTATAGTATGTGGCACTTATTTTAAGTCATATGAAACTTCAATTAAAAAAATGATGCATATGGTTTTTTTTTATAACCTAATGGTTAGTTTTTATTATAAAACTTATGTACATATACTTTTTTCACTAGAAAATTCTTTAATTTGACCAAATTTAGAAGAAATTTCCTTCTTTTTTTAATTGTTTGTTTACAGTCAACAATTCGCCGATATGTTTTCCGTATGCAGTGAACTCAGTGTGACTTTTCTCGCAAAAATCCGGTGATCGCAATACGCATGGATCTGTCATTGAATAACTATTATCTTATTGTATATATTATACACGTGCTCAATATCCATGCTTCTTTGTTGATTGTTTACTATAGAGGTGACAATCGGTAAACTACGGCTTCAAAACACGACAATTAATTAGCTGCCATATTTTCACATCAAAACAGACCGAGAAATTTTTTTATTTGACGATTATACGATATGGATGCGTAAAAATTTTTTAAAAAATCGTGTACAGAAGACAAAGTTTATTATATATGCATGCATTGGTTCAAGAATTTGATAAACATTATTTTTCACCAGTCACTCGTTTCATATGACTTTAAAATATGTTTCTTTACCCATTATGCATTTAAAGGTCCAATTTTTACGTTGAATACGAGTAATTTCAACTCCACGGATATCTATATTAATATGACATAAGAGAGGTGGAAGATATCGAAAGGAACATTCAAACTCACACATCTAAAACGAACTTCCAATGACATTACAAAAAACGATAAACGGACAAACGACAAACAACAGTATACAAAACACAATATAGAAAACTAAAGACTGATCAACACTAACCCAAACACCAACCTAAAAGAGTAATTAACCAGATCTTGCCCCACATGTGGTATGATATTTGGTACTATAAATGTTTAAAAAGTTCTAACAAACCACTAATGTCACCTTGACTCTCATTTACATTTCCTGGTCAGAACTTAAGTATCAAACAGTAACAAGGAAGTTAAACCTGTTACGTAAATCATTGAAAAATACAAATATTGGTCTACAATCAATTAAAACAAACTGAGATTGCTCTGTTTTGTTTCTTAATGAACATTTTTATAATTATTGCTTTATAGATGTACTTACCTGTCCAATGTATTGAAACTGTGGATTTTCCTTATCAAACCATTTGTCGGGATCATCTTCCCGGATTGAGGTTAACACAACTCTATTTGAAAAGACTTCAATGTCACTTAAAGTTACATACTTAGGAACGTTAAAGAGTAAAAACACGATGAAAATATTTTTCATCTTGTTAAATATTTTGGCAAATTCCGATATAAACTGTTTTGATTATGTAAATAATATCAGCAGTCATCGATTGATATCAGGTGATTTAAGTTTGTCTTTTGTGTAACCGGATATTTTATCTTGAAAAAAAGATTAAAGGCCGTTTTCATTGCTTGAACATTGATATAAATATAAGGTGATTTGCCTTTGTATTTTTTTATTCTCGAATATTTCATTTTGAATATCTTTAAAATTATTTTCCATTGTTCGCTGTGTAATTTGTAATCAAATTCTATATATCTGATTATATCTGTAAATGTCATTAAAAATTTGAGGTTTATATTTTGTTATATAAGAGAAGCGTATCGTTTACTTAAGACTCATCAGTGTCGCTCGAATCAAAACAGTTGGAATGTCAAAACAATTACAAAATTGAAGGGCATTGAAAACATCCAATTCCGAACTGCTGAACGAAACTTGTTAACGCTAGAGTGCTGACTACTAGGCTGGTGATGTCTTCGGGGACGAAATGTTCATCAGCAGAAGTTGTAAAAAATCATCAAAGTTTCTAGGCTTATAATTTGTTATCCCAGACGCGCGTTTGGTCTAAATAAGACTCATCGGTGGAGCTCAAATCAAAACAGTCAGAAGGCCAGATCAAATACCAAAGTTGAAACCTAATAAAGACAATTATTGAAATAAAATCAGATTTTTCATAAGAAGGATTAGGTCTGAAATGAGATCACTAAGCATCTCAAACTTAGATTTAAACTGGTTATGAATCAATACGGCGTTTACAACATAATAACAGTGTTACTACTTTCTGTGGAAATTTGTTACAATCGGATTCATGTAAACTAAAGACCACGATATCATTGTAGATTTCTATTTTATCTACAGGACCGGTGACTTGAAAATGAAAGACAACCCAATAATTTCCATCTTTTTCAAATAAAATTCCTCATGAGCGAATACAATCTACAGATTTGTCGTCTTATATATGACCACACACTTTTGTCTTGTATTAACGCAAGAAACGAGGGAATAATTCGTTAAAGCCGCTTTCGTTGTTTGTCAGAAGAAATGATTCAAGGACTCAACAGGGGAATGCTTGGTAGCTACAAAGATGTATAATTGGTTTTGCGATTTAATTTGATTATTCGTTGATAAATTCAGAAATTGTTTATATTAAATAAGTTTCTAACACCATCGGGCAAAGTTTACCTTTTTTGGTTTTGTCTATTCTATTTTTAATGTTCCTGATGAAAACAATCACTTAGGACGAATCAAAATGTTATGGTAGACCTTTTATTTGAGGTTATGATATATGAAAACAGACGACAAATTAAACACCATACAAATAACATTAAAAAGTAGCAGCAACAGTTATTACACTTTTACAAGGAGTAATATATTTCTCCTGCAGAAGAAGCAGTAATATCTTTAATGGTTTGTTTATACATGTACTGTGATCGAGTCTTGTGGAAAGGTTTATGTTTTGCAATCAGTAAGAAGGTTGTGCAATCATTTTTCAAAATTGATTTGTTTTAAAAGGCTGGAATCCGAATGCGAAAGGACGCAAAAATCTGATTACTATATACTTATAATTACATTAGATGTATAAAGTAAAATCACAAAAATACTGAACTCCGAGGAAAATTCAAAAAGGAAAGTCCCTAATCAAATGGCAAAATCAAAAGCTCAAACACATCAAACGAATGGATAACAACTGTCATATTCCTGACTTGGTACGGGCATTTTCTTATGAAGAAAATGGTGGATTGAACCTATTTTATAGCTAGCTAAACCTCTCACTTGTATGACAGTCGCATCAAATTCCATTATATTGACAACGATGCGTGAACAAACAAACAGACACAATAGGTAAAAATGTCACAAATAGGGGTACAGCAGTCAACATTGTGTTATAATCTTAATCACTATAAAAACGAATAAATGTAACAAAGAAGCACAAAAAGGCATACATCAAATTTAACATCCTCATTTTGCTTTTTTTATTATACGATTTTATTTATCTATGTAAAATCCACCCATAAAGGATGGAAGGTTTTAAGTACAGACGTAGAATCGCGCGTTTGACGTCAGACAGGTAGATATAAATTAATTTTGTCGTTCAAAGTATGACGGGATACATAAGTACAGAGTCACGTCAAATGGATATCACAAAAAATAGACTCAACAGTAAAAGTAATATTAATAAAATAAAAATAATTTTGTCGTTCAAAGTATGACGGGATACATAAGTACAGAGTCACGTCAAATGGATATCACAAAAAACAGACTTAACAGTAAAAGTAATATTAATAAAGACAAATAAAAGAATAATATAACACGTTATTAAGATGATAAACAACGTCAGTACGCAGAATCTATACTTCAAGACCATCGTGTAATATTTGTGAAGTTTATACGGAATATTTATCAACAAGGTGTTGGTACCTTCCGATGAACTTTTTTAGAAAAAGGACGAGACGTTCTTTGACATACCCCTGGTTCATCAACTTTCTGCTCAGAAACTGGAGACGTTTTACAAAGTCTGAGTAGGAGCTGCAAGCTCTTGATTACCGAATAAGTTGGAAAATATATATCCCATATGCAGGTGAAGTTGGTATATTGCTACTAAGGTGGGGGAAATTGATAATTTCAAAATTAAAATCGTCTCGTTTGTCATAGATTCTGGTACTGAGATGACTGTGTATGTCAAATTGGAGTCTAAAAATGAGGCGGAGGAAGCCGTGTCTGTTGTTTCTTTAATTTCTAGTTCAGGGGGATATATTAATGGAACCCAATCAGAAAAGTTCGGATTGTTAATGGAAAGAACATCATCAATATATCTGAAAGTGAAATTCAATAACCTAGCTTCTTTGTTCTTCTTGTTTTTGACAAGTGTCTGAAGCAACTCCGATTTATATGAAAATAAGAAGAGATCGGCAAGGAGAGGCGCACAGTTCATTCCCATAGGAATGCCGACAATTTGTTGAAAAAGTCTACCTCCAAATTCAACAAATATGTTGTCAATAAGAAACTTCAGCATACTGATCACTTGTTCCTCTGTGTAGCATGTTTTACCCTTTTGTTCACTATTGTATGTTTCATTATAATACGCATAGATGTATGTTTCATTATCATACGTTATTTTGATTGGCTAACAGCAATCTCGCGTCATTTTGAAATTAACATTCATTTCGAAATAAATTGTAACATCCATGAACGATCACACACGTTTCCACAATAAAGTGCACAGGTAAATAAAAAAAAAACTTGATAGTAATCGAGTTTTCATGATCATAGAGAAAAAATATAATTATAAGTTTTGAATGCTTCTTTAAGTAAAATCATAGGGTTGTAAAAGCGTTGACCGTGCGCATATTTTTAGAATGGAGCGCTTCCGCGCTTCATACAAAATGTACTCCGGTCAACGCTTTTACATCCCAATGAAATATTATACAAAAAAGAAGCATTCAATTCTTATTAGTTTTATCAGTTCTTGGTATGAATTTCTGTCTTAAGGTAGGGACGAAGAACGCGATCATATTAAACGATATGATGTCGACACCGGCATAATATTCCAAATTTAATTATCTGTTTATGGTACGTGTTTATCTAAGAATTTTATTTGAAGGTGCATTAATATTAAAATAATATAATTCAGGGTCTGAGTATACTGGGTCTGTGTTATAATCAGCATAGTGATAGAGCGCACTTTTTCTTAAAGAAATAGAAATATCATTACGGAAAATGTTAAACAATACAAGTCCCAGAATGCATTTCTGTGGAACTCCTTTATATGTATTTTTCTACGAACTATAATTTACATCTACTCTGACATATTGTTTTCTATCAGATAGAGCATTTTCTGACAAACCAGAAGTTTTTATTTTATGAATAACAGGTCATGGGATAGGCAGTTGGATGCATTTGAAAGGCAAATGATTTTTGATACATTGCATGCGTCCGAAGCGCTTTTCTTGATTTACCTTCATCGGGAAGGCTCAAACCCAAACATTTGAAAGCCCCGGATGTATAAATACGTAGAAACGCTACATATTTACTTTGTACTCAAAGGGGACCTATAAAAGGAATAGTCAAATTCGTCAACTCTATGGTTAACTTTGTGACGTGTGCATGAGGAAGTTGAACCTTAGTTTTTCAGCAATTTCTTACCATGAGTCATCAACGTGGAATTTTAGAAATGATATGCTATTAACATAATTATTTGATACACTATATAATAATTTTTATCGACTGCTTTTTTTGTGTCCTCTATGATTTTTAGCAAAGTATTGTTTATTTTGAAATATTGTAAGCTCATATCAACATTGTATTGTTATATACTGTAATTCGGAGCAGACTCCATACGTATGATATACTTGTGTCTAATCTATTTTACACAATAGAGCAAATAACATATATTTAACAAAAACTAAACTAAATTAAAAACCAATTGTTCAGAGAACAATTGAAGGTCTTTCCACCCGAAAAGATCTATTTTGATACAAAAAATTCGGTATAAAATGTTATTTCCAGCTTCAAATGATAGCTTATTGTACGCTGTTTTAAAAAAATATATGGTTTCTAGACATTTTTTTTAAATAAGAAGATAATTTGTTACTTCCGGTTTTAAAAATGTCGCTTCCGGTATTATTTGATAGTTTACCTGACACTGATTCCAAAAATATATGGTTCTATATACTTGTACATTACACAAGTACAAAAAATAGCTACTGCCGGTTTACACAAGGTCACTTCCGGTTGGCTTTTTCAAGGTCATATGGCTTGCAACCTAATGCATAAAGGCCCATGGCTTTATCATGTATACATATAAATTGAAAGCAAAGGTCAAAATCTAGAACGTCAAATTTACCAATGACCTTGACCTCAATTTGAAGGTCATAAATCAGGACCTAAAATCAAAAGACACTAGGTCTTTATTATATATGGTGAATGAGTTATATCACCATACGCGTAATTTTAAATCTAAGACGGGAGAAAACTGTTAGCGTACATTTTCAACCAAAATGTATGTGTTATGACATGTCGCAACTAACAATTTAGTATGTTGTAGATATCTGATACGGTTTTTGAAAGAAGAGAA